TCCCCGTAGGATACGAGCCTGCTCTGTCTTGTGTTGGACTTGTACTTTGAGATATGGACTGAGAGACAGTAAACCGATGTGAGTATAGAACTTGGTGTTGCGTTTATCCTTGAATGTATGTATGCCAGTACATGAATGTGATGTAGTTAGTTAGGAGTCAGGTCGCCCGACCCCCTCACTCCTTGACTGAGCATTCCCCATGGACCAAGCGAGTGCAGAGCTGGAGCTTACATCTCCCCTGACAATGTGGAACGACCATAAGCAATAGGTAACTGCGGTAGGGTTTACTAACACCCAAACGCCAGTTACGACAATATGCACGTGTCTCTAGTTTCCGGTCACGTGACATCTCATCATTTCTGCCCCTACTGAAACGGCTGAAATTGTCACATCAGAAGTATTTTAGGCTCAAAACGTTTTGATAGCTTCTCGTACTTCGTCATTGAGAACACAGTATCATCTCTCCATTCTACCATCCCAAAGTTAAATACGAACTCCTCGCATACATTGAGTGACACTTCCCAGACAGGTCGCTACATGTTTGTGGATCATATTTGAATGTAATCCTATTGCTTCTGCCAATCATACAGTTGTGATTTACTTGATTTCATCCATTACCTTTCTAGGCAACGTGCGGAGCGTCTATGGGCTATTGGCCTGATTGAAGCTGGCTGGCAGTATTGAGCCCAGATCTTCCCCGGTTAGGACAGGATAAGGGATGTAAACCTCAATGACAAAGGCCGCTATCACCTTTAGTTGAATTTGTAGCAAGAGGGGTGACTACCTCAAATTGCATTCAATTAATATGCACAGATTAAATGAATATTTCGATTGAATGAAAGCCGTTGTGGTATTACCTACGTCAAGTTTGAAATTTCCACTATCGTTTTTCAATAGTGTAATATCGCTTACAATTTTGTTCAGGAAACTTAAAATTCATTTACAAGACTGCTATAAGTTCAATTTAAACACCTCACCCTAACGTGTTCGGTTTTGAAATTACATTTAGCGGTCTTAAATCAACGATAAAGGACCGCAAAATTGAAAACAGAGTAGCTTTATCTTCTAAATATAAAGTTGGCATGCCTACTGAAAATATCTTTAAAGATTTAGTTCCACTCCGAACGCCACTAATATGACGTCACATAACTAATAGTATCGCAAATGCTGAGAGGTGAGGTGAGGTGAAATTGGGTTTAACGTCGTGCTTGAGAATATTTCGCTCATATGACGACGGGCATGCGTGTGTATGTGTATGTGCGGTTGCTTGTACTAGCCCAGACTTAAGATGGTTTTATAGTGCTAGCCCACTGAGATACCATGCCACAGTGAAGCATGAATACCCCACTCAGACACATTATACTGACTCCGAGCCGACCAGTCCTTGTTGTACCCATTAATGCCGTGCGCCAGATAGGGTCCAACACGTACCATATTTTGACGTCTTTTGGTGTGACGCGGTCGGGGATCGAACCATCGACCTTTGGCTCACCGGGCGGACAATCTAACCAATACACCACGGAGGCGGTCGCAAATGCTGAGACGTCATAGCCATAAATAAAAGAGCGCAAACGTTTACGCTCTCAGTTGTCCATAGAGGTTGACATCCATTATCAGTCCCATTCCATTCACATATGTATTTTGTCACCTATAAAGTTTCATCTTTTTATTATGCCAAAATTTTAATCGACAGTGCTTGGGGAAGAACTCCATTCCATCATTCCAACCATAGGGCTGTGTCCGTCAGATCAGCTGACCGAAAGTAACCAACTAGCGATGACAATGGTAAATATCAGTGGAGGAAGAAAAGAGGAACATTCCTGATATTTGATCAGTTAAATAGTGACAGGGATGTTATATAAAAGAAGAAATGGCAAACAGAAAAATTGCATCAGTCGATAAGTAGTGGAGTAAACTCACCCAGTATAAACAGTACCCACCACTCCGTCACCACCGCCAACAGAAGCAGTGTCCACACACCCGCCATGTTGGACAACAAGGAAGCAATATGCCCTGGGAGTGCGTCACATAAAGCCTGTATCTACATGGGCAAAATTACTGTGTTTTGACAATGCTACCCAATATATTATCAATTCAACACTATACCGTAGTACTGTAATACATTGTTACGCAGGTTAAACTGGAAGCGTGTTTTTGGAGCTTTCATTGGAGAGAGGCCGTTTGATATATCCGATATGTTTGTTAGTGTACACGATAAGAGCATTGCAGTGGTTGAAACTATCATGTGCCGTTTGTGCTCAATTATTGCTTCCAAAATGAACGTAAGTCATATCCTTAACAATATTGACATAATATTCAAAATTGTTTTCATACGTTTTTCTTTACTCAATCATATAGCTTCAGTTCAGTTTCTGCCTCGGTCGAGCAGAGTGCCAGGGTAAACATTATACCTATACCTCAACCACCCGGTGCCGTCAGTTGTCTCATGCAACAAACAGTTGCAATAACAATTGCTGAAGATCATTTGTAACCCCGATCTTTCCCACATCAATATGATGGGTTATGTGGTACAGGTCTCGTTCACCCTTCAGAGAAAAACCCTCAAAAAACCCCAAACAATGTAACATGTGTCATTTATTAACACACTCAGCCCCTATGCCAAAGTGGGGGTCACAACAACATGGAATTCACGATTGTACACAGAGCCTTTTCTTTATCACCTGCTACTCCGAAGACACACACCCAGACATAACACCTGTCCCTTCAAATACACATAATCAGACTAAAGAAAGACATTAAGCAAACGGACCTCCCCAAACCAGATAGAGTCACACCGCAGTCACATACCCACAACAACTCTGTTACAAGCTCGATGAACGTTCCACCATGTGAGAATTCCGGTGATTTAACCACTGACTGACTGACTGAGTTTAGTTTTACGCCGCTTTTAGCAATATTCCAGCAATATCACGGCGGGGGACACCAGAAATGGGCTTCACACATTGTGCCCATGTGGGGAATCGAACCCGGGTCTTCGGCATGACGAGCCATGATTTAACCAACGTAATCGGACAAGGTAGAGCTGCAGAAAACATACAGAGATGATGGTTATCGGGATGAATACACAGATACTTCCTCGTCATCAGTACAACTACTTATGTCAGTATTAGAGCTGTGACGGTATATCGTAGTATCGATAATCGTGATACTTTATCTAACGATAAATATATCGATACGTGTTTTCGTATCGTGATATGTATCGTTGACCCTAAAATTGTTAATTTTCATTAGATATTGACGGTTAAGTCAAAGTGTCTTGCTCTTAAAATATGGGTTTTTTTAAGAAAATTGTATCATTGTATCATTTGACACTGCATTAAACATACACGTTACATGCAGACCTAAACTAACACGTTGAAAGTAGGCCATCAGCACACCGGCCTTTGTGTACTTCTGGGAAGTTGTGTAATGTCCAGTGTTATCTCTATAGGCTATTCACAAATATGTTACTACAAACTTTCCTACTGACATCAGCTTAATAGAGAAAGATTAACACCGCCCGTCAGAGAGCTGGAGCGATCGATAAGGCTTTAAAACATGTGTTTACAACTCTTCTTTGCAAACACATGCATGTACCTATAAAAAGGTGTGTACATGTAAATTGTATTCATTTCAGAAACTTTCCACTTTTGTGTTCCATATGATTCAGAGGCATTTAAAAACATGAATAATAACCTAACATATTTGTAGCATATGGACATTGTACTCAATATAAACCGCATCAAATGAGGGATGTTATTTATGTAAACTCTGACGCAGAACTGGAAGTAAAGCAGACCTTTGGCATTTAGTTCGGAGAAAGGTGTGTACTGGAATGCAGTTGAGAATCCCAATATTCATAACTAGGCGGAATCAGGGAGTCATATAAAGAGTCATATAACTCTATAGAGTCATTAGCTGCACATCAGACATGGAGCGGTGGGGTAGCCCAGTAGTTAAAGCGTTCGCTCCTCACACCGAACACCCAGGTTCGATTCCCCACATGGGTACAATGAGTGAAGCCCATTTCTGGTGTCCCCCGCCGTGATATTGCTGGAATATTGCTAAAAGCGGCGTAAAACCAAACTCAGTCAGCTAAATTATATGTATTAGATGATAATATGTTGTATTAGACGAAGATGCAGAAAGTGTTCAAATCCTATTTGCCAACTTGACAACCAGCAATGACACGCATTTTAACGATGTTCCATGTACGGATTGGTGCCCCAGATCATACCTGGTAAAAAACTGTTTGAGCAAAGACTTTAGTTAAAGCTGTAATGTCGCTGAACATCATCAGTTCATTTTAGTGTAGATATACTAAATAAACATAATCGACAGTTATTGGAGGCACCATCATTTTATTGTGAAAATAGCAGAGACAGACGTTTTACAAAATTGCATAAATACCCAGAGATGGTGGTCAGCCAACTAAGACATGAGAGGAAGGATAGAGTTTGAAACCGTATTTTAATATGTAGTAAAGTCTGCAATAATAACACAGGAAAACATCGCAAGTAAAGTGTACATTCGTAAAGGAGGTTGTGATAAATCATAATCAGACATGTACCATAGCTTAATCTAGTGAAATGTCATCAATGCTTCAGCATACTACATACACAATCTTTAGGTACAAATGTGTATAGAACGATTAAATCGTTTACTCCAACTATATGTATATGATAATACAGGGGGTGCATTTGCATTTGATCAGAAAGTGACGTTATTTACATTACATTACTACTTTCTACATTAACCCGGTAACAGGTAACTACTTTGATGGCGATGCGGGTGCGCATGCTCGTGATGAAACAGTGCAGTCGACTCTACTTTGGGTGAAGATTTCTTATGTACATGATGGAATCTGATGACGATGATGATGATGATTTGGAGACTTTACGTGTGCTTTTCGAAATGCTGAGTAGTTATTATTTATTAACACACACCCAGAGAGAGAGAGAGAGAGAGGGGGGGAGGGAGTGAGGGAGGGACAGAATATATACTGGTATATGTTCATCTCCAATCTTGTGTCATCCAGATAGCCTCGCATGCCAATCTTAAAACGTTCAGTTACATTATGTTTAGAAACAGTCTATTTTGGAGCTTAACCCCAGTGTAAATACAACATGGCCATATGTAGACACGTGCACGCTGTTATGGGTGATGATACATGTATGAAAATGTAATGTACACTTTTATATATTGATGAGCATACTTGGCAAAATGAATCTTCCCTTGAGGTGAGAGGCATTCACTTGACCGAACGAATTGTTATGTAACTGAATGTACATGTGCTTGGGATTTTATGGATTCAGGCGAATTGCATTTGTAAGTCAAGGTGGCCAGAATTGGACGTGTTATAGCTCAGTGTTACTCTGGTCTCGTGTGGAAGTAGCTTGTAGACTTGACGTATTTTCAGTTTTTTATCCATGATGTAGACGTGGATATCATTATACCATGACATTGGGGTTACATCTTGTATACACTGTATGCTAATCATTTGAGATAATATATAATCCTGTTTCAAATATATACCTCCACTTAGCAGGGATGAGCCCCATATCGTCAAGTGTGATGTCACACCAGCGTTATTCAAACTTGCCCAATTCACTATATTCACCAGCCATGGCACGGGATGTGCTGTCAAGAGATTCGTGGTTCAGCTGGCTCGTATATGTCTCTTTCTGGGACTTCCATACAAACACCATCGTCCAGTTCTGTCTTGCTGATGTTGTGAGTGCAGCGTGTCTCTCCGCACCATGGGCTGTCACGTACCTCAACGTTGAGATAATCATGTGTTATTGTATCAAGCTCACTTGCGCCGTCGTTTCTCGATGTTTTGGTTTGAACTTTCGACGGATGACTTGTGTTGTAGTAGTGATGGGAATCAGATTCCTGCAGTGATGGTCTGAAACATATGGGCGTGTGAACAGTCAGTTGTAAAAGCAACTCCAGATTGAATCATAGCTCTCCATATCAGATCTAAACAGCATAAGTACAAATAGTTTTATTGTATTACCTCGCCCTCTTTGTCAACGTGTATTGCAACTGTATTGAAGTTGGCAGAACATCAGTAAAATAACTACATTACGGACTGCCTTTGTCTCCTCCTCCTCCTCCTGATGAAGACGCCGACGACAACTGCTGCAACTACGACAACGATTGCAGTCACTGTCACTGCAGGTATAAGTTTTTCCTCATCTCCGACAGACTCTGCGAAAGACATGAACATTTAGCGTCGTCATGGCAACTCAGTACAGTCCAATGCCGTTGACACTTTCCAAACAACCTGACGTATTCCGCTTTTGATATTAAGGAGGTAAACTCGAAGTCTAACGCTTAGTCTTTGAATATATATAATTTTGATGGTAGCAAATACACCCATTTAAATTGAAAAGGGAGCCCCAGTGAGTTGGAAGATTCAGAAACGAAGCAGAGGAAATGCAGACTTGCTTCATTTAGGGCTTCAGCATTTCAGGGAGGACAAGGCAGTAGGGAAATTAACGTGGTTAACTGTGATATAGACCAGTAAACCCGGTACGGATATTACTGCATATTATTTCCAAATGAAACACTTACCCGAATCTGTAGATACCTAATTTGTACCGCCTCCGTGGTGTAGTGGTTAGAGCGTCCGCCCGGAGAGCGAAAGGTCGCGGGTTCGATCCGCGTCATACCAAAAGACGTCAAAATATGGTACGTGTTGGACCCTATCTGGCGCACGGCATTACTGGGTACAACAAGGACTGGTCGGCTCGGAGTCAGTATAATGTGTCTTAGTGGGGTATTCATGCTTCACTGCGGCATGGTATCTCAGTGGGCTAGCACTATAAAACCATCTAGTACAAGCAGCCGCACATACACATACACACGCATGCCCGTCGTCATATGAGCGAAATATTCTCAAGCACGACGTTAAACCCACCTCACCTAATTTGTATGTTAATTGACATGTAGTGTGTTTCCCTGCAATCTGTGTTGCTGACCTTGACACCCGTGATCCGTGCTTCCTTCCAAACAAGCAGAGCGACAATTGCCTGACCTCCGGTCACATGTGTGATTACCAGCACACTCATCTTTACATTCGGTTCCAGGATGACCCAGACTGTACACTAGAAGGTCAAGAATCGTCCATTTGGTTTAAAATAGACATATACCTGAATAGCTGCTTCTGCAAACGTTGATCACACATCTTTGATGCTCCAGAATATTGTGATTGCCAAACGCGACTCCAACATTTAACTCATGTAATTATCAAAATATGTTTTCTTATTATATAATGGTTTCATTACCTGTGCAATCAGTCAGTGTCCATCCTGTCTCACACCCATTGTCACATCCCCCTGTTGAGTTACAGGAAGATTTCCCCTTACAGTGTCTGGAGGCGCAAGTCTTTGTACAATCCGAACCATATAGATGGGATTCGCAAGCTGCAACATGTATAAATGTAAAAGCAACATTATTTAGTGAGTGAGTGAGTTACAATTTACGTCACATCCGCTATATTTTAGTCATATAGTGACGAGAAATGTTGGGCATACACAATAAATACAAGTAGGTAAATAATCAGTCATCGACGGACTGTAAAATAACTAGAGTATCACAGATATGGATATATGGAACTAAAACATTTTAATTAAAGCAGACAATGCAATATAAAACACGGGCTAAAGGTCGCCAACAACTGAGGGTAGATCACCATACTAGGAACCAACATTATTTAGAATTGGTACCAAAACTCTGATGCATTTCACCACCATAAACGACACAATTTAACAAACACCGTTACCTGTGCAGTCAGTCAGTGTCCATCCTGTCTTACACCCATTGTCACATGCCCCTGTTGAGTTACAGGAAGAGTTCCCCAGACAGTGTCTGGAGACACATTGTTTGGTACAGTTGGGTCCGTAGTGGTGGCTGCCCTAGGCTAACAACACATAAGTAAGATGCTGCTAAATATTTCTAAACATAACATAATAATTGTTGGAAATGTAAGTTTCAGTTTCGCTAATGGGAAATGTCTCAACGTATCAGGTCAGATCACGTGGGGGTACAAACCTGTTGTATACTGTATACAACATACTGACATCGAATATGGCTCAATACATATAATGTAAAGTTACTGAAGTTCATATCACATAAAATATTTCTCATATTGTCTATTGAGCTTTACATATATTTCGTCATTGTTTTTCTCTCCAGCTGTTATCAACAACACATCGAGAACGTTTGCGATGATGGATCTGTGATGCCCTAATCTTGAAATGCAAAATGTCCGCATGATACGCCATGTTAGTTCTATTTATTCATACGCCTTATCGATATATTGACCAGCTCTGGCGCCTATAGTAGATACAGATGCCACAAAAACGCCATGCTTTTTAAAATTAAAGATTACCACTACAATTAACAAGGCTTATATAACCTCTGAATATTCTCAACAATTCCTATTTTGAGCAGTCAATAATGTATACCCATTCTAACACAAGTCTAATTTTGTATAAATGTTAAACAAATAATTATGTAGAATTTATCCCAAGAACATCTAATACATTTCAAAGATATATATACAGGTATCTATATGATGAAGCAACGCTCAAACATGTAAAGTCACATTGATCTGTTTGCTTGATGTATGTTTCTTGAAGACATATTGCTGCTGGTTTAAAATCCTGTACCAATAATTGAATTTCATGAAAATTGTTCATTAATCGTCTGAAATTCCACTGAATTGGAGAGTTATTATTTATGCTTTCGGTGGTTGAAGTAGAGGGGATCTACTTTTTCCAGCCCAAAGCCACTTGCTTCTCATCAGAACTGAAACTATTGGTGATACATAATGAAACAGACACTTTTACAGTTGAGTGAGTGAGACTGGACTGATTTGGTAAGAGAGTATGCCATACCTGCTGTTGAAGACGAGGTTGAATTTAAGAGATATTAGACGATATTGATCCATCACGTGTAGCCTCACCACATCGGTAGTAAGTGATTATTAGTATAGGATATTTATGTAGCGCACATATCCACGCAACTAGTGCTTGCTCAAGGCGCTGGTATTTTCCCTCGATCATTGGATGTCAATCTCAACGGCACATCGTATTATCAATCTCAACTCCCTGGGGAGTATACAACGCTTGCAGCCACTAGGCCCACCGAGTTATTGTGGCTTTCCCATCCTAATGAGGTACCCATTCACAGCTGGGTGGACTGGGACACCTAGTCACAGCACTTTGTCCAAGTTTACTGCACGTTGCTGTACCCGCAACTAGGTGTTTGCACGTATTCATGTGGCCACCATCTGGTCATATACCAACAGATTCGTGGGTTCTTTTAAGTGCACAGGGTTGTGTGCTTTACACTAGCCAGTCTGCACACAAAGTTGACTCCAAGGTTTTTACACTCGGTCACAGGTGGGCTCGATCCCGACGCCTCATGCTCGCTGGATCACTAGCCTGGCGCCTTAGCTAGCTCGCCCCCACAAGACGGGGTACCATGGCCAAACTTTTGACACTTGTAACATCGAAGTGGGTTTGGTATATATTCTTCCACTTCGATTATACAATATCCGGCCTTGGTGGATTTTGGGTGTTTGGCAAATGGGTATTTTCACCATTACTCTTTGATGTGAAGCGTTTAATGTGAGTGGTTCACCATCATTTGAAGAAACACTAGAAATATGCTCCAAATATAAGAAGTTGTCTTTGAGATACTGTCCTCATGAAAAGCATTCATCCAATACCAGCTGCTCTTTATTTAGTTCTTAGAAAGAGAAGCTTCACCAACCCAGCTCTGAACCCATCACGGCGTGTCACAAATCCAGTGCTTTATGGAAGTGCATCTTTAACAGGCAGCACCAATGATTCCGTGACGGTATACTTTAGCATTAGATTAAGTGAAATTAATCAATCCACCAGACTGGTCCATGAGCCACCGCCTTCTGCGCATAAGACTATGCAAATTCCATAACAGACAAATTTCAAAGTTGTGTTATATGAATAAAAGGGGCCAAGACTTGAAGTGAAACGACAATTTGACAACATAACTTCTGCAATGACTTAATTTCATGCACAGGGCTTGACAAGCCGATTGACAGAATAAGGTGCAGTCTACCACAAGAAATGCATTGAGTAAAGGAATGCTATTCCTGGAATCACTGCCCTCAACCACAAGAATCCCTTCCCCAACCGACACATGAGAGTGACTTTCAGCAAACAGGATGTCCAATTTAGTAACCTTTTATGACAGGCAATGCGATGCTGAAGACAAATTCTGCAAATAGTCCTCATGGGGCTCATGATTACAGTGTACCTTGTGTACAGTCTACTGCAGTCCATCCAGGGAGACACCCGGTGTCACATGACCCAGAAAGCCGGTCACATGACGATGTATCAGTAGCACAGTTCCTGCTGCCACACGTCTCGTTACAGTTGACTCCGTAATGGTCTTCGTCACACTCTAAGAAAGGAGGATATCATAATATTATACAATTTATAAGTGGTTCCAGTGGTTGTGCAGAATAATTTTGAAGATGAGGCAAAAGGTTTACCCAATACGTCATGACACATAGGTATCGAAGCCTATTCAATAGTTTCTCACCAAATCTAAATATCACTCACCTATAGAACAGCTTTGTCCCCGCCACCCTGGCCTACAGTCACCAGCACAGATCCCACTGACTCTGTCACAGGGCCCATCAGAACATTGACAGAAATGGCTGCAGTTTGCACCAAAGGTTCCTTGGCTGCAGACTTAAAATAGAATAAAAGAGGTACAAATAATACTAAAATATCATTTGTCATTACGAAATACAGAGTATATGCGAGTAAAGCAACGGCCATAAGCTGCATGATCAGCGGATGTTAAAGAGAAGCATTGTGGACAGCAACCTCTGACATAGTTGCCGGCTGAACACTCACTTGTACGAAATACAGGCGTATATTACAAAGAGTTTGTTTAAAATAACTGAAACGAGCAGCCAAAATTGTAAGTTAGTTTCTTGAATGACCCGTGACACAATAAAGGATATGCTCTTACAAGAACATATCACTGACGTGAATAAAGTTTGTTTATCCACTGCTGACAGCTATCCCTAATTAATTCAAATTTAACATGCATCCCAAGTCCAAGACTTTATACAAAACATTATTTTTGTCTTATCTGCATGGAGGGGCGGTGGGGAAGCTTAGTGGTTATAGAGTTCGTCACGCCGAAGACCCAGGTTCGATTCCCCACATGGGTACAATGTGTGAAGCCCATTCCTGGTGTCCCCAGCTAGAATATTACTCACTCACTCACCTATCTGCATGGTTCCGGCGTGGTGCACGTGGAATGTGTTCTAGTTTATAGATCTTTGAGAACATGCAGACTTTTGTAGTAACCAATAGGCACGGTTTTTGCAGTAGTCGTTAATATCTAATCACTTATTAAGAACCATCTGCTATTCAAATTCTCATTGACAGGAGCTCACATGGCATACCACATGGTTTATATAAGTACCACTTTAATGACTGTTTAATCAAAGAACTTGGTATAAATGGCATGTCAAATGACGTCACATGTAAGACCAGTATGTCAAGTGCGGAAGAAATTTTCAACGGGATTCTTAAACCTGAAAACATGACCTTTCCTCTTTCGTATCAGATTCCAAAACCACAGAAAAATCCTTACAAAGAGAGATATATTGTTGGCCCCAGCAAATGTACCACCAACGCCCTGCATAAATATATATGTGTATATATTTTGAACAAATTGAAGTGCAAATAAGTTTGGCACACGTTTTCAAGAAGAGCATTCTGTGCCTGCTTCTTCAGGCCTCCATGGATAACATAAACGTCCCAAAAATATTCCACCTTTCGTCGCATGATTTGAGTGATGGTGAAGTGAAATTGTTTAAGAAAGGTTTGAAATTCACCCCAACACCTAAATCTAATGAGCTGGGGTTGAGATCGGACATTAAACGTTTTGTCCGTAAACTTAAACTGAATTCTTTGAACAGAAAGAAGAGGAAATCACTGTAACAGATGAAGAAATAGACAATGCAAGGGAATCCCAATCCTTACTAAAGAATAAATGTAACTTTGTGCCACCTCGTGGAACTGACAAATATTTAGAGGAATATTGATTGAAAATGTACCCATACGAGTAAAACAACCTAAACTCAACTTAAAGGGTGAGTCCAAAGCTTTACATGACGAAATGATAGTGATATAGTTATTAAGGAGGCGGATAAAGGAGGCACAACTGTCATTGTGGATAAGGCCTTTTACAAAGACAAAATAGTGTCTATCCTTGATAATGAGGCATACTAAAACAAATCCAACGCAAGAGAAGAAAAAACAATTTTAAACAAAATTTTTAGATTTGCCACTGACATATCAGTTCCTGAGCGAGAAGACTACCTTACTAACTTTGAGGCTAAGGTTGCGTATTTTTATGGCCTTCCGAAAATACACAAAAGTAAAATGATTCAAATTAAAATCTCTAATGAACATTCAGCGGTTATTTCTGTTAAAAACCCAGAAGACATCCCCTTTAGACCTATTGTTGGAGGACCCGTAAGTCACACGCAAAGACTATTCTTTCACTGATCTTATCCTTATACCCTTGTATATAACTTCCACAAACAATACCCGAGGACTCGAAACTGGTTAGTTTTGATACGGTTAATCTATATAGCAATATAGATACAGATCTCGGACAGAAAGCAGTAAAACATTGGTTTGATAAATTCTGTCATGAAATACCAGATAGATTTTCAAATGAGTTTATCATTGACGCTTTTAGTCTTGTCATTGAAAATAATGTGTTTTATTTTGACGGATGTCTTTACTCTCAAAATAAAGGCGTAGCAATTGGTAAGAAAGTAGCGCCAACTTGGAAAAGTTATTCTTCTCTAAAGTTGGAGAGACATTACGATCAACATGAAAGAGCAAGTTGAAAATCCAAGCGATTTTAGATGACTGTTTTCAGCCTCAAAAATGATAATAACTTTCTTCAAACTATTCATGAAAATCTTAACTGTTGATCCTTCAATGAAATTTACTATGGAAAGTCATGATTACTGTTTAAACGTTCTTGACGTTTACAGTTAAAATAGAAATAGGGGTAACATAGCTACGGATATATTCTATAAGAAAACAGATTCACGTCAGTGTTTTTGACACACTGTACTGTTTGGCAAGAAGAGTTTGTACAATAGTTTCTAATGATGATGTTAAAATATATCGCCTTGCTGAACTAAAAACGTTTTTGACTTAATCAAAACTATCTAGACAAATTGATTAGTGGTAGTATGAACAAGGTTTTAAAAACGGGACAACAACTGAGATCGAAAGTAGATAAGGACATAGATACTAAAAATATTTTCCTCTTGTATCGACCTTCAAAACTAATCATGATAACCACATGTCTATTGTCAAACGCCATCTTTTTATTTTAAGTCCAAGTCAAAAAAAGAAAAAGATTTTTAATAAATCTAAGTTTAGTTAAGGTTTTTGAATCAGTGGGTTATTGGTGGTTACATCAAATCACGTGACAGTTTAGTTCATAATTCTTTGACAAACTGCCTTGACTGGCTTTGCCATTCCGAGCCAAAGTTCAGATTCATATGAAGTTGGAGTCCTTGGAAATGCCCACTCTTTGTCTTAATATCATAGCTCCGGACTTATACATGGATGTCATCAAGGAAAACGTCCGGGGCAATATAGAAAACTTCAGGAATTTGCTTTCACTTTTGAGGAATCGCCCTGCACCTTTGAAACTACATGTAAAGATGTACATTTTTAGTGACAAAAGACCCATAGGTCAAGGAATGATGTGTTTCCTTCATGTGTCACATGCGACAATGATGCACAAAATACAAGAATGATCTTTTGGACAGAATTGAACTTCTTTTCTGTGATTGTGAAAAGTCAAACAAATCATATGATTTTAAGAGAATTCTTATGGTACTAAATATGAAACGTACGAAAAAATGTCCAGTCTTGACTTTCCACTGAAACATTACTTTTGACGTAAATCGAAAACAGCTGTGAAAATCAGCGATGACTCCACGAAATGTACATACTCTATGGTCACATATATAAAAGAAGATGAAGTTGAAATAAGTTTGGCAAAGTACGTTTTGAGCAGGTACATTCTGTATCTCCTTCTTCAGGCCGTTTATTTAATGCAGTAACTGACACACTCTGTAGGAATATGACATCACATAGGAACTTATGACGACATAATGCGTATAGCAACAATAGCATAGTATTATGTGCACGAAATCATGTTTTGCCATTCAATTTGGCGCATATTTAAGAAAATACATATCGCTCTACCACCATGTATCGTGATTAAAAAGTACACTTTCGCCCTAAACTATTATACTTAAAGCACGAGGACGCTTGCAACTGCCTAGTGAAGCAACTGCAAACCAAGAAACGGGATGCAACGGGGTAGTTTACTGTAGGAGGCTGCAAAAAGTGTACATTGTCGTCTGGTAATGTACTGTCGGCGCCTATGATCCTTTACCGAAGCATATTACAATTATGAATAAAATATGATTCTTTCAAGAGTAAAACATACACCGAGAAAACCTTGAACTTGTCATTACCACACTTATCTAAGTGTTCACTGAGAGGAATAGTGTGATTTCGGGATTGTTCATTTTTTAATTTTTGTTCTGTTTTCCCGATATACTTCTCATTACATTCAGATCATGTAATGACATCAGTAGCATTTCTGGTGTCACAATTAATGTCACAATTGTTTAACAACAAATATCTCACTGGGTGTAATGTTAATTGAACTCTCTTCAATTATAATTTCACAAGTATGACAACGAGAATCTCCACATTTAGAGACATCAATTGAGACATCAATATTTTTGAGCAGATTGTTGGGTTGCTTACGGCTGTTAACAAAAAAGAAGACCCCGTCCCATCTGTTTCATACTGAGTGCAGAAATATTCTCCACAAACGGGATGACCTAAACTTGCTCAAAGTAAATTTTCCTTTTATGTCGAGCATTACTCTTGCAAGTACAAGGTTTCATGTCTACATTTCACTACTTTGTTATGGTAGATATGTGTAGAGACCTAACAAATTTGGCGAAGCAATGACAAAATGGAAGACGCAATTTCCAATGTTGTATCATTTTTTCAGGTGAACAGTCAATGAATCACAGGTAACAATAATTGACATGTTGGTTCAAGATCATGTATACAGGAATAAATGACAAGCAGCTCTGTTTTAGGGGGGAAAGGGGCCGTATTCAGAGCAGAGTGACGACACAGACGTATTAGGAATCGAAAAAGCTGAACAAAGACCAAACGATCAGGCCATACCATAGATCTCAACCTTGCAGAGACTCCGGCTCTGTGTAATGGTGAAGTATCGCCCCCTACCATCACAGATCACATCGTACACAGAGTTGCCTGTTGCAGTGTTTTGGGGGAAGATGTAGCAAGGTACGCCAGATGTGGAGCTGCTGGAGTTACTCAGAGAGAGGACAGCGGTTTTCATTCCCCAAGGACCTAAAATGATGATCCATGAATGACAATATAAAACGTATTGCGTGAGGGTCAAATGATATCCCGAACAACATTAGAAACGCACCACCCATATAATACGAAATATCCCCGGCCAGATTGAAATGTACCCATGATATCTGAGCATCGTCGGTTCATGTTAGTGTGGTGCGTATCTAATGTTGTTCAGTATTTTTCAAACCTTATTTTGTTCTTTCGTACCTGCGAGGTTCAGTTCAGAGGAGACTAACCGCCCAGTTTATATTGCATTCGAATTGGATGGAATAATCAGCCAATCAACAGCAGAGAACCCCATATGGAACATGTATAGATTTAAGGATGATTCACATTGTCAGCAGATGGTCAGCAGAGAACCCCATTCATCCCTACGTATGGAACATGTATGGATTTAAGGATGATCCCATGCTCAATTCCAGAAATCAGCGTTCTGTAACCGTTACCTTTAAACTATATACTGAATGGCCCTGAAAAGAATATTAGCTGGGAGTGAGTGCCACGATTCCACGCCGTTTTAAGCAAAATTCCATTATTATCAAGGACACATTACACCCATATGAGAAACGACTCTGGGTCTTAACAAACGAACGATTTAAATACAGGGTCAACGACCGTACTTTTAAATAAAGTGAAGTAAAATCTTATATCGCATACGTCCTGGATACACATATATCCTGACGTCGTGTATCCTGTAGTGCTGTCCCAGGTCCACCGTCCAAACACTTGGTTGACGTTTGGAGTGGAAGCAGGAGTAATGGTCCCAGTTCCCATCCACATCTTTGCTTGCAGACCAGGAAGTTTGATCTCCAGGTTCAGAAACGGCATGCTTCCCGTAGGCAACGTTTTCTGTTGGAAAACAAAACATCACATTTACTCCAAATATTGACAAAATGTAAATGCTATTGTCATGATTTGCACTTGAGTGTTGCCTGATTTCCAAAATTCCCTGGAACAGAAACTACCACATGCTAACACAGCACCGTGTAACAGAAGATGTTTAATGGTAATATAAGAATGAAATATTGAATATGAAATACCCCAAAACGGGCTTTACAATCAGACCATTGAATGAAAAATTCCTTATCTGAATGATGACGATAATCTCTTTTTTATGCTATCTCTATTGGTGTGTTATATATTTCGCAAGAAAACCATTCGTTTGTGAGATAAAATTATTTATTACCCACGTGATCAACGTATGGGTAGTTGCATACTTATCTCGTACTTCACACGAGTGTCGTATCGCGTTGACCTGTGTCGTAACGACTTGACCTGAGAGTCTAACGATTTGATTGGATAACCGATGACCTCTCAATTAGGTCACGTTGTGACGGAACTACTTGTCAATTCATAACAAACTATTCAAATTATATGCATGGTGGGAATGTAAACATTGCGAACGTTGCCGTGTCACTGTTTAATTGTGAGTCGAAATGAGACTATATATCAGTCGAAAAACATAAACGCAATGGTTCCACCTGTGATGTTAGCCGAGTGAAGCAACTGCAAACCAAGTAAATGGTGCTACGGAGTAGTTTACTGTAGGAGGTTGTACGAGGCGATGACAACTGACATGCATCGTGACGTCGGTTACCAAGGGGACAGACGAGAATGGTTTTAGTGACGTCAATACAGTGTGACGTCATGCAAAAGTGACTACAGAACAAAATTCTTCCGCAACCTCTTTATGAAACCGGTTTCGGTTTGACACCATAACAATAACTGACTGACTGACTGAATTTGGTTTTACGCCGCTTTAAGCAATATTCCAGCAACATCACGGCGGGGGACACTAGAAATGGGCTTCACAAATTGTACCCATGTGGGCATAACAATAACAAAAATACACTATTTTGTCAATTTAATGCATGTAAGACGTGGGTTATAAATAAAATACCACACTCGGTCTCATTACATACGAATTATACGAAACTCGTGACCTTCCTATGGTTTCTGACCTCGCTTTCGCTCGGTGAGATACCATAGGAAGGACACTCGTCTCGTATAATTCGTATGTAATGAGACCTCGTGTAGTATTCTCTATGTACTTGTATAACATATATCAAGGTGCGCTCAGTTTAGAATATACGCCTTAATTTGAACATGATGTACTACTGGCCTTTTGCCAAACATAAGACTAACTTCTCTTTCCGGTCGGAATATGTTTCACATGATCGAGTGCTGGAGTGAGTGAGTCACATCGGCGATATTTCAGCCATATTGTGACTAAAACTAGCTCTAGATTCATAATACATACATACAATATATAAAACCCTGTCAACAAAGGACAGTAAAATTAGCAGATTATCACAAAATGAGGTAAAAAGGTTAGCATATATCTTTAATAAAAGTAGAAAACTATTTTTGGACAATACAGTGTAAAAATGGGATATAGATCACCGCCAACTGAAGGTAGATAAACATACTATGGACCATGGGGACTTACAGTGCCTTTGCTACGAATGCTGGAACGTAAATTAGCTAAAAATGACGAATGTCAAATTCAAGGTATGTTTAACTTTACTGACAAAATACATTCTTGTTTGTAACACACATCAGTTCTAAATATCTAAGGGATGTATTCTAAATCGATGTGTATGGAATCTGTGTTTGTATTGCATATATTCACAACTCTGTACAGAGCAAGCGTATGTTTTTGAATATCAAAAATAACTGTCACAAGGTGTTGTTTGTTTCAGTCTTGTCTAACGAAGAGATTTTCATATTTCCCCAAACACACGCGATATTTGAACTTGTGAGGATTAAAACTGTGATCTCTCTATCTTCGGTGTTGTACAGTAATATAAGCATGCATGCAGGTATATATTATTTGACACTAAAATGGCTTTGGTCATAGTTCCAAACATGCCTTATGTCGAGAATGACACAGGAATTGTAACCTATGCACTGAAGAAAGCTGCGTTATGGCATCGCAGGAAATGCTCAGTGATACCTTTTCGTGAACACCTGGTTTCGTTCACTGATTTTCAGTGATCCAAGTATAATTTGTCATTATTTAGTCCTTTATGGCAATTTGATTTCTGGTTCGGCGGAAAATTGAGTGTTTTTATTCTTTGGCGATGAATTCAAATACCCGATTTCGCAACATTTAGAGATGTTGCTGCTAGTAATTGTGTTTTGATATTTTGACATGACAATGATCGTAAATATTATGGATAATATAAGTAGTAATGAGATAAAGATTACATATGTGGTGAATCGGGTCCAGCAGTCCCCCACAAGGTCTCGGAGTATATATATAGGTTAAATTGTATTTACTGAGAAAGTGTACATGTTGGATATTGTTATTGAAACAGTGTGCCTAATATTTAGAAAACATGACTTTATTCTTTCCAATTGATGAGTATTTGCTGTACCTTTTTGACAAGTTCCTCCGTGTCCTCCCACCCAGCCTTTATCACAGCCACCTCCACAAACTCCAGTTGTCTGGTTACATGAGTGTCCACAGTGGCAGGAGTAGTTACACGAATCTCCGAACTTCCCTGCTGGACAGAACCCTGAGAAGAGGCATAAAGGCAATATAAGAGTGAAAAAGAGGAGAGACGACTCCATTCATGGTCAATAAGTGTTTTTCTACAATGTTATACAATATTTCAAACCAGATTAGGGTTCAATTGAATAGATTTATGGACCGGACTTGGAAGCAATTACATTATTTGTCCATTATTGAACGATATGAGATCACTAAGATACCTCAACCTTATTATGATATTATGTCAAACCTTCGTTTGTTTCTGCAGAATTTTGTACAGATTCTAAAACTTTTGTACCCAGCCACCACAAATATGGAAGTCGGACAACTGGTTCCAAAATCGTCACTCTGCTGAGAAAGTGTACACCTAAATACAATTATTTGATTGTCGCCTGACGCTGCAGCAAACAAACATACCTTCATACAACCAAACCATGAATCATTCACACTCAAGGAAGTCAAATTTAACAACAAGCTCGTGTTGAGGAACAGTGGATATATTTTGAAAAAGTCACTTTTCAGAAATATAGTATCATATATCGCATTGCTATGAATCAGTGACAGAGAGTTGAAAATCTCATAGGAAGTTCAGTTTTAGTGGGTTTCCGATCTGACTGTGAAAATATGACGCTCAAAATGCTTAAACATCGCCATCACAATTAACTGGTTCTGTTCTTGACATTTGATCAAAAACAATCTTGTTACATAAATTTACACAATGCAAGAAGACTACATACCACATTTGTAATTAGTAATTGAGTAAACTATCAACTCACCAAATATAACCTGTATCCAAAACTCTCCCACGACTGTTAATACAAGCAGTGTCTTCCCAACCGCCATTTTGACAACAAAGAAGTGAAATTCCTCGAGAGAGAGAGAGAGAGAGAGTCAGGTGTGTGAGGTAAAGGTATTACATTTCCAAGGTACAATCTCTGTGAACCGCGTTTATCGACACCCTTCCGGATCCATTATTAAGTCAATAATGTATCACGATGTGCTAATCCAGTTAAACCAGGATGTATGTGGTTCAAGCGACATCCAGGAGATGTCATGTTATGGATTACGATGTTCCTATACATAGCAGAATAATTACAAAGCTATAAACTGTCGTGATGTACAACCTTAAGCTATATTTACCGACAACTGTGTCCAGTAAACTGAAATGGATGCAAAGTTAACCATAGTAAATGTTATGAAAAGCACGGTAACCTACTGTAGGTGCACACCATTGATGTTAGCCGAACCATACAACTTGTAAACATTTCCACGGGTGCTTAAATTTGTTCAAGGTATAATGTCCTAGTACGTGATGTAGGTGTTCATATTCACACGGAGAATGTAAAGATGTTATCTGTTTGATCTGTGATAACGTCCTCCTTCTCGACAGGCGTTTGATGAGGAAGTTGTGATGGGAAGGTATTGATCAGGAAACAAATCACCAAACCAAGATGAATACAACAATAATAGCTTGTCCTAGTCTCGACTGACCCAGTGCTGTCGGCAAAGTGAGTTTATTTGTAAATGATTGTTTCTGACATAAACCACGTTGAAGTATTAAGTAGTAAGTGGGTTTAGTTTTACGCCGCTTTCAGCAAAATTCCAGCAATATCATGGCGGGGGACACCAAAAATATGTTTCACACATTGTACCTATGTGGGAAATTGAACCCGGGTATTCGCTTCGGCGTGACGAGCGAGCGCTTTAACCATAAACGGAAGTAGTGAGTGAGTGAGTAAAAACTTAACGTCACATCGGCAATATTGCAGCCATATGGTGACGAGGATTTGAATAATATATAAAGTCGTAATAACTAACTTTAAATTATGAAACCCTGTCAACGAAGGACAGTAAAATAGCTAGAGGATCACAGACATAGATATAAAACTAGTTCGAAAAGCTAAAACTTTCAACTATAGAACACAATACAATATAAAAATAGGCTACATATTGCCAACAACTGAAGGTAGATCACCATACTAGGGGCAAACGGAAGTAGAAATATATAACATAAGTAAGCATATTCTCAGTCTTTCACAAAATGTTTGATGTGTATTTGTGCAAATATGGCAATATTTCATACATTTCACAAATAATGTGTATTATCAAGGCATATGTACACTACATTCATACATTTCAGGTATGAATACAGTGTACGCCAACCAGTCTTACGTCACTACCAGTGCAAAATACCTCGTCTTCTTGACTTAACCCTGTATTACCGCCTGCCGTATCCTTAACCCTGTCAAACACCAAATAAATCTAACTTTGACCTGTGCGTTCGACATTTCGGAATGACACTTTTTAGGATGTCTTTTATGCATTGTTGAATTATCCTGAACACTCTATTTGTTTAATGCAAGATATAGAGTATTGATATATGCTCACGATATGTTATTAAAGTTGACAAATGAACACAGATAGCTAACTAGTAATTGACTTGGTTTAGCTGCATCACACCGCATCCTGCACTAACTCCATCACAACAGTGAAATAGACTTACTACAGTTTGAAATCACTGGACCGACAGTTTTTATCCCATTTAAATGCCGGCAAATTCAACGTGTAACAAACATCGGTTGAATGATTCACAGCAAAATCATTTTTCCATACAATTTTTAAGCTTGATAATAACGTTTCATGAATGTCGAAGATGTTGTACATCTGTATCAAAGGTGGAAATCAAAAAGATCCAAAACGCATTATATGTTATCCCGCCGCCTATTGTTTCCAGATGGTAGAGTAACAATATCGCCTATCAAAAGGGCACAAAGGACCAATTGTCATGGTGAAGGGCGTTGTCATCTTAAAGGAATTCCTAAAAAATTAACATTTAAAAAGGCGGATGGTGGAAAATGCGCTGTGGGATCTCATTTGAATCTTTTGTCCCGGATAGAGGCTTCAGAGTAAAGTAGTTCCTCTTCAGGCCAAAGCGACAACCCTGTAACGATTTTTTAAGTCATCTCAAAAAATGTTGTGTCTATCAGGATGGGAAATTTACGTGCTTGTAAAACATATACAATATTGCAATCACTGCTACAATGTGATCACACTATATTCATGCAGAATGTTAATGACAGCCTTGACCCCGATGAAGTGGGTGAATGGGTTAACATTAAGCGTCACATTGGCACTATATCATCTATATCATTACGAGAAGTTGAATACGAATAAAAATAACCCTGCCATAGATGGACAGAAGCATGACTAGATTACCATATGCTCAGCAGTTCCACTAATATATAGCATTTTGAATAATTAATTATTAATCTGCTGGACAAATAAGATTGGCTATAGATTGCCAGTTACAAAACACGGGTCACCATACTATATAGACTAACAGTACATTTCCTACCTGCATGAACCCAGGCTGGATTTACAACATCAACTTAATCATTAGCAATAATTGACAAGTTGAGCAAAAACTTAAAATGAAGGATATACTACCTTTAAAGGCATGGGGAATAATACTGCGAACGAAGAGCAACGTCCATACACTCTTGATGAGTGTACAGGTATTTCGCATAATGTCAACTCACTCTCGAAGGAATTGCCATCAGTGTTTTATCAATTTATCAGAATTACCACTTTATATAATATTACTATGTACATCAAATGAAATATAAAAATCAATGAATTAAATTAGGGCTAATGTTGTTAAAAAGGCCCTTCATGGTTGACACTTTGAAATAGTTATCACTTGTGATAGACAAAATCGAAACAGTCAAGAACCAGTTTGTGTAACTGATAGTTGATTGTCGACTTCTTTGTGTAAGTACAGGTTAGTACTCACTTTAAGGCATCAGAAGCGGTGTCACAGATGTGTTGGCTGCTGCTTTGGCTACAGAAGCTGCCATTAGTTCCACTGTGGCTGGGCAACTAATACAAGACGATGTCCTATTGATCGGAAGCATGTTCACAGTGCAATTCAATAATTTCAGTTATAAGTGGATTTGCACACGACATGCTATTTAGGGGATAACTGTACTGTGTTTGACGAATTGGGGACGTATACCGGTGGTTATGTATACGCAACTTAAGTTATATGGGCTATATAACCACCGCTATACGTCCCCAATTCGTCAAACACAGTACAGTTATGCCCATTCTATTTCAGCTCGTTTTACGATGGGTTTTTTCGTGAAGGAAATTCATTATTTAAACCAGGTCAAAGTTCCTCTACGTCAAAGGTTAATCAAATCACTCATTGAACTTACACTATCGCCAGAAAAAGTAGTTCCCTTTTCAAGCTTCAACACATTTATTCTGTGCACACTGACTAAATCTGACAATGATGAATAAATCATAGTGTTATAGTTAACCTGGACGGAATTGTCATGAAACCGCCCTCTAGTTATCGGAAATGAGCGTGCCGCTGCAAATGATAATGGCCCCCTGATTATCCGGCGCAGTGATGACTTAGCATAACATCACTGCCACAGGCTAATTTGCATCTCACATGACCGGACTTTTCTCTTGTTTGTAAACAAACGCGCATATTCATAATAAGAAGAGACTTGCCTTAAGCAAGCTATTCGACGCGCTTTTCACAATGTTTTACATTGTTACATATGTATTCTTCCACAACTGCGACAGTTAGGTCTATGACAGTACATATTTAGATATTTAACTGGCTGCATCGTTTGCTCTCCGTCTGCTTCGATGACAGCACGTTGAGCCGTACAACATATGTAAACAAAGGATCGCTATGCAAATCGAAATAGTGTTACATGTTTTAGGATATTTTCTCAGTGAAACTAAACCATTCTATCAAAGATGTTTAATTCCATATCACCATCCTTCCTTAGGGGTCACGTGAGAGAGACGCGCATGCGCACTTGTCAGTAGCGAATGTGTTCCTAGTTGTCTTGACAAGTTTTTATAGAAGATTCTTCCAACATCGGATTATTTTCACAAACGGATATATATAGTGTGTTTGACGTCGTCTCTACATTGTTCACGGATTTCGGATGTGTATCCCAGCGTCACGGATATAGCGGTGCTGGAACTTTCCCGTACGAAGGACAAAAATCCTAGTGGTACTGACAATACTTGGAGCTGACCAATATGGCGTCAGAGCAATGTCCCCTCGCAGAGGGAACAAGTCGGGAGAGAGAGAGCAGCAGCACCTCTCCCAATGACGATGCTCTAGCAAAAGTCCTTGCTGCGCAGCAGCAACAGGCAGAGTCCATAAAATTTTTGACGGAAACAATCATTCAAATTGGGGCGAAAAAGAAAACAGGTTTCTTCCCCTGTCATAGAGGTCAGCGATCAACAAAGCTGGGCCGAGTGGTCTTGGAAAGGGCGGGTCACTGAAGCGTAAAGCCAGTGGCGAGTGCGACTCGCAGAAGCGATGCCGACTTACTGCTGATAGTGATATGTCAGACGCAGAGGACAATGATCCTTTTGATGACATAGTTGACACTTTACAAAGTGATCATGAAGCAGAAAGTGAGAATGAAGTTGACGCAGTCATCTTCGAATTAAATGCTTATTTCAACAATGATGACAAATTTGGTCCTAAAGTGAACGAGGTTCTGGGAAGGACTATAAATGAAGGGCTGAGATCGCAGCTGAATCTCGAAGCACTGAATCAGACGAAGGATAAGTATCAGAAGCCAGAAAACTGCCCTAATCTGACTGTTCCGAGAGTGAACAATCAAGTGTGGAATCAGGTCAAACCACAAACCAGATCCATAGATTCCAAGCTACAAAATGTTCAAAGCCTCTTGGCTAAGGCTTTTTGTCCTATTCTGGAGCTTACTGATGAAGTTATGAATGCTTCTAGAGATAAGAAGCAACAGATCAAGTTAAAAACTTTGGCGAAGAAGTCTTGTGATTCTCTACGCCTCTTGTCAGCTGTGTTCGTAGAACTTACAAATCACAGGAAGGACACATTCAAGCCGGAGCTCAAAGGAGCTTACAAACAGCTGTGTGCACATAACAATCCTGTCACTGACCAGCTTTTCGGCGATGATCTTGCAAAACAAATAAAGGACATTTCTGAAGCTCAAACCCTCTCTGCCAAATTAAGCGGTGGCGGAGACAGGCCAGGTCAGTTACCATGGAAACAAACCCGAGGTGGAAAGCCCAGTTACGTAAGACGTGACACTCACCAGCATCAGGGCCGGAACGACCGAGATCGGCGTTTTTTAGGTCAGAACCGCCGGAACAACTTCAAAAGGAGAGGCGGCTACCAACAACAGAAAAAGCAGTAGAGTGCACTCTATCTGCCCCAACTAAAGAGGTGAGAGATCTCTGTGACACCTTAACGCATACACCGGATAATTTTAAAAATGTTATACAGCTTCCTGTTGTTATCAGTGGCAAAAACTAACGTCTGATACATTTATTTTGGATACTGTCAGTGATGGCTATATAATTGAATTTGACCAGCTACCTTCACAAGATCAATCCCCAAGGCCGATTCAATTTAGTGAAAATGAACACGTGGCTATTACCCAACAGGTTGTCCATATGACCATGACAGGTGTTATTCAACATGCAGAACCGTGTGCAGGTCCATTTATCTCAAACATTTTCAGCAGAGATAAAAAGGATGGAAGTATCCGTATTATTCTGGACCTAACAGTGCTAAATAAGAAAGTGGACAAAGTGAAATTTAAAATGGACACTATAAAAACAGCCATAAATTTAATGAAGCCAGATTGTTTCTTTGCTAGCGTGGATCTAAAAGACGCATATTACACGATCCCAGTGCACAAAGATTACAGGAAATTCATGAGGTTTTATTGGGACGGGCAGCTTTTTCAATTTACATGCTTGGCTAATGGGTTAACTTCTGCCCCAAGAATATTTACCAAAGTGTTGAAAGTTCCATTCGGAGAATTGCACAAACAAGGCCACACGATATCAGGATATATTGATGATAGCATTTTTGAAGGGGATACTTATTCTTTGTGTCAAGCAAATATCACAGCTACAATTCAACTTTTTGACTCCCTTGGTTTTACTATACATCCTCGCAAGTCAAGCCTTGTTCCAACGCAGGTTATAACGTACCTCGGATATGTTCTGAATTCTCGAGATATGACAGTTAGTTTGACTGAGGAAAAAACGGGGAAAATCAAAAAATGCTGTGTGGAATTGACTAAAAAGAACACTGTCTCTATTAGAGAACTGGCCTCCTTGATTGGTAAATTCGTTGCCTCGGAACCAGGTATGAAGTTTGCTGTGCTGCATTATAAACGGTTGGAGATAGAAAAGAACACGTTATTGTCGCTGAACAAGGGCAATTTTAATGCAATTGTGCAGGTTCCTGCCGTCTTTCTATCTGAACTCAGCTGGTGGATACAAAACTTAGGTAACATGCCTAAACCCGTGTACACTCCCGACCCAGATGTCGTGCTCACATCAGACGCTTCCCTGACAGGCTGGGGTGGTGCCTGGGGAGCCCAGTCCACGGGAGGAGGATGGTCAGCGCTGGAGAAAAAGTCACACATTAATTGCCTTGAGATTCGGGCCGCCAAGCTGACTATCCAGTCTTATTGTGCCTCATTAAGAGATGCACACGTAAGGGTGTTAATCGACAACACTACCGCCGTAGCCTATATCAATAAACAAGGGGGCAACAAACTGGACTGTTATTTGCAGGTCAGGTCACTTTGGGATTGGTGTATTGAGAGAAACATTTGGGTTTCTGCTGCATATCTCCCGGGAGCTGAAAATACTGTCGCTGATCGCGAGTCACGTGATACTAATTGGCAAGATAAAGAATGGTCACTTGCTGATGATGTGTTTATTGAGATTAGAAAGAAGTTCCCAGATATACAACGTGATTTGTGTGCTTCTCGACTTAATCATAAACTTCATAACTATGTTTCATGGCGCCCTGACCCCGGTGCCTCAGCAGTAGATTGTTTTACTGTTAACTGGAGTTCTCACAACAATTATTGTTTCCCTCCTTTCAGCATCATCCCACTGGTTCTGAAAAAGATCGAGCAGGACAAAGCAGATGTGACACTCATAGCTCCGATGTGGCCAACACAAGTGTGGTTTACCAAGTTACTGAGACTAACAGTAGACTATCCTCTGATTCTACCTGTGAGGAATCGATTGCTACATCTACCGACAGAACCAACCTTGCTGCATCCGTTGAGGAGGAAATTGAAACTAACTCTTTTCAGATTATCAGGGAATGCTACAAAACAAGAAACCTTTCAGAGACAGTTACAAATGTTTTGCTTGCATCATGGAGAGACAACACCAAAAAAACAATATCGGAGTTATCACAAAAGGTGGTTGTCGTTTTGTGTCAGGGGGGAATGTTGATCCCCTTCTACCATCTTTGAACCAAGTTCTGGAATTCCTTGGAGAACTGTACCACAGTGGATTAGGTTATAGTGCCCTGAACACAGCCAGATCGGCTCTCTCTGCCATCATAACTGTTGAAAATATGCCAGTAGGGAATCACTCTCTAGTTAAGAGATTCATGAAAGGGTGTTTCAATTACGCCCAGCCCTCCTAAATATTCTGTTACGTGGGATGTTAGTAAAGTACTCACCTCACTAGCGGAATATGGAAATACTGATACTTTATCTCTTAAAAAGCTTACTTTCAAATTCGCAGTTTTATTATGTTTGCTTTCTGACCAGAGAATCCAATCTGTCCATTTGTTACATGTAGACAATGTAGAATTTAGAGATCAACATCTTGTTATTAGAATAGGAGATCTTGTAAAACAATCAAGAAGAGGTTTTCATGTTGGGGAACTAGTTTTCTCAGCCTACCCACATGATGACAGACTGTGCATTGTGACAACAGCCCGTGCATATTTAAATTGTACCAGAACGCTTAGAGGAAATGAGAACAAACTGTTCCTAGGACTGCAGAGACCCCACAAACCAGTGACTAAAGACACTATTAGTAGGTGGGTGAAACTGACACTTGCTGGAGCCGGTGTGGATGTGGGTATTTTCAAACCGCACAGTGTACGTGCTGCAGTGAGCAGCTCAGCGTGCAGATCAAAGGTGCCGCTCCATACGATTCTCCGCACAGCGGGATGGACTCAGGAGTCGACATTCCGGAGACATTACGATCTCCCGCTAACCGTAGACACAAGAGTGTGTGATTCTGTGTTAGCAGCAGTTAAACGCTAACTGTTTTATATCATCATTTACGCATTGTACCTTTTTTATTCTGTAAGTTTCTATAAACCAATTCTCAAATCATCCATATTGTTTGATATTCTGTCTTATTCGTGGAATGAAAAATGTTTCCTCTTCTCTGAAGCTCTCACGTGACCCCTAAGGAAGGATGGTGATATGGAATTATACAATTAAACGAGACTTACCTGTAAGGTGAAGTTTGAGTGTAATTCCATGAACCATCTTCCTGACTTAGGGGTTACGTGCCCACCCTCCCTTACCCTCGAACAATTGGTAAGATGAAACATTTTTGCTCAAGACTGACTAGTGCGCATGCGCGTCTCTCTCACGTAACCCCTAAGTCAGGAAGATGGTTCATGGAATTACACTCAAACTTCACCTTACAGGTAAGTCTCGTTTAATTGTATAATTAGATGTGTAGACTCGTCAAAAATAAAAGAGTTAAGAAATATGTACATTGTATTGAATGGACGGTGCAAGATGTGACGATTCGTCACATCTTTCTAGCCTGTGGCAGAGGTACTATGCTGGCTTGCCGCATTGAACTCTGGGTAGCAGAGTGTTATCAGTTCTGTTGTCAAATGACGTCAAAGCAGGTGA